CCAGAAGTCTGTGGCTTACTTAGTACCCTGATCCTACATCTGACCCTAACACTGCCCTGACAGTGGAGTTACATTGACTTACACCATCTGATAATCTCCCCCTCTCCCCAGTTTTTTAGATAGGTGAGGAGAAATCACCAGAGATATCACCTGTAACAGTAAGGAAAAAAATGAAATATATATATTTCAGTAATTCTCATTGTTTTCCTTCTATAGACTATTGCCTAAAAGAGAAAACCTCTCATAGGGTATGTCTACACTACAATGTTAGTTCGAACTAACGGACGTTAGTTCGAACTAACATTCATAGGTGCTACACTAGTGCTCCGCTAGTTCGAATTTAAATCGAACTAGCGGAGCGCTTAGTTCGAACTAGGAAAACCTCATTTTACGAGGACTAAGCCTAGTTCGAACTTACTAGTTCGAATTAAGGGGTGTGTAGCCCCTTAATTCGAACTAGTGGGAGGCTAGCCCTCCCCAGGTTTCCCTGGTGGCCACTCTGGCCAACACCTTGATCTTACTTCTCTTTAAACTCTGTTCTAGTTCTAGCCTTCACTGCCTCCTGCAGCAAGGAGTTCCACAGGTTGACTCTTTGCTTTGTGACTTTCTGTTACTAGTTTGAAGCCTGCTACCCATTCCTTTCCTTTGGTGTCCTCTAGTCCTTCTATTATGGGAACTAATGAAGAACTTTTCTTTATGCACCCTCTCCACACCACTCATGCTTTTATAGACCTCTATCATATCCCCCCTCAGTCTCCTCTTTTCTAAGCTGAAAAGTCCCAGTCTCTTTAGCCTCTCTTCATATGGGACCTGTTCCAAACCCCTGATCATTTTAGTTGCCCTCCCCTCTCCCACCCTCTCTCTTCCCCTCTCCCACCTTCTTTTCCCAGTCTCCCCGAGTTTTGTTCAATAAAGAGAGTTTCTATTTTTGAACACACGTGTCCTTTATTTTGTACATCAGGAAGGGTGGTAGGGAGGGGTAAGTGGAAGGAGGTGAGGGAAGAATGGGGTACGAGCCCCTGATGGGGAGGACTGGGTTGGCTCTGCGGGCTCCTCGGGATGGAACCTCTCCTGAAGCCCCTTGATTGACCCCCCCGCTCCGGATGGCAGCCTGCGGCAAGTGCAGCCGGGCTGATGGCCGAGTGCTGTGATGTGCCGAGTGTGGGCACTCAGGGCACTCCAAGCCAGGACTGCTTTGCAAGTGGGGTACCCCTGAGAACTGTATGTCCGGGGTGGGGGTCGGATCCCTTTAAGCACAGCCCTTGGCTAGCCTGAGGCAGCAGCTCCACGCTCTAAGTCCTAATCTGATGCCCTGCCGGCACTGCTTCTGGCCAGCCTTAGCCTCAGTTCAGGGTCCACTCAGTGTGGACATGCTAGTTCGAATTAGCAAAACGCTAATTCGAACTAGTTTTTAAGTCTAGATTCACTAATTCGAATTAGCTTAGTTCGAATTAACTAATTCGAACTAAGCTAGTTCGAATTAGTGCTGTAGTGTAGACATACCCTGATTCTAACATAAGTGGACATCCAGCTACCTCAAATCATGCCAGACCACGGATGTTGCCAGACCAGAGTATGCCAGACTAGGGAGGTAGTGTAAAATGGGTGTGTGTGAATCCAGTAGCACTGTCAGAGAATATGCAGGAAAATGGCTTTTTTGTGTGCGTCTCTGGTGAGCAACTGAGGAAATGGTGGACTGTGTTGTTTTTCATGGACCATGAATAATAATAGGGGGAAGAGAAGAGTTGTGACTACTGCATTTGAGAAAAATATGAAGAATGCTTTTCTGCATGACACTCATACCACTTCACAGGGGAATTTCCCCTTTTAAACAGAGATCATTTTAGTCTGAGGGGACTGTTAACCAGCCTACTATGGAAGTGATGGACAATAATCCATGGAGGGCAGAGAGCGTGGGTTTATCTATAAACTTGGAACCTCTCAACAGGATTCTTTTAAAATTAGGAATGAGAACGTTTGTGTTTCTCAGCAGAACTGTAAAATGAAAATAAACCCTTGTCCAGCAGTACAGCCAACAAAATAGCTGAAGAAAGACCAGATTTGTTTTGAATTTCCATCTAAGCCCTATAAGCAGCCTTGTGTTTACAGTGTTCTGTGTTGAAATTTGTTTTGAATTGCCATCTAAGCACTATGAGCAGCCTTGTGTTTACAGTGTTCTGTGTTGATTGCACGTTCAAGAGGCGTTATGGACTGCTTCCCTCTAATCCCTACGCCCAAAACATGAGTTTTGTTGTTCATAGTAATGTTTCAAAATGTGTCTTAACAGTCTTCACACTTTTTAACTCTGGGCTGTGAGGTAAACAAAAAGCAGGTGCAGTCCTTTTGTTCTTGTACAGGGTCTCAGAGAGAGCAGTCAGAATGTGTATATTTACAGAGCAGAATGCACCTTCACCTCATTTTGTTTGTATCTGAATGATCACTTGTGGGCCCATGGAGTGGGCAGCGTCTCAAGGCAGAAAGGCCTAACAGCGAAGTCTTCTGTCGGTAGGTTCTGCTTTCCCGTCCCTCTTCAAGCTTTAACAAAAACAAAAAGTCCTCCTGGTGTCTGGTTTGTTTGCACAAGTTGCTTCCCGCAAAGAGTCGCTCTTCTTGGGGCTTTCCTTGCCATTCCTCAGAGGATCTTGATTACTCATAGTACAGCTAAAGGAAATGTTCCAGCCAAGACTTCTAGTCACCAGGACAAGTGTCCTTGCTTTTGATTTTTAATTTGTTTCTGGCACACTTCAGAGCTGCTATGCTGCACATATCTCCCAAGCATTTTCCTCCTTTTGGGTTGGAAAGTGGGTAAAGAATCATAAACTAGGCTATTATTCCAGTTTGATGAAAAATAACAGAGAGGTAGCTGTGTTAGTCTGATCTTGGTAAAACAAAAAAAGCAGTCCTGTAGCACTTGACAGGATGGATTATTAGGGGATGAGCTTTCGTGGGGCAGACCCACTTCCTCAGATCATATTCAGTTTGAGTGTTGAATACTCTGAATGAGAAGAGATTTTGTAACTGGAAATGCTTCTGATTTTAGCTGGTATGATTCCACTCACACTATAGTTTTAAAAAGTTTTCCACAGCTATTTTTGTAGCCAGATATTGAATCTTAACGCTTAAGCCCAGTAATGGTTTCATTGGCTCAGTTTATGCCTGCATGACCTCAGAGAGCTTTTATCTTCAGAACTGCTAAACCGTACTAAAGTTATCCTAAAACTCCAGCAAATCCTAAAAAGGAAACTGACTGACCAGAATATGGAGTATAAATAGAAAGGATGAGTTGGGAGCGTAACTTGACCTGTAGTGACAAGGGGACAAAAATGTCCTCACAGTGCATTCTGGGTCAAAAGGTCTCTACTATTTAAACACTGTCGTGTCCAGCTACCATTGATTTACTGTCTGGTGTAGCACGCACCAGCTCAGATTTTAAGCCAGAAAGGGCCATTAAATCATCTAGTCTGACCTCTTGAACGTCGCAGCCTTAGAATTTCACCCAGGTACCCTGGCATTGAGCTCACCAGTCACAAGATGGAGAATTTCCCTTGCCCGGGGGTTGTTTGTAACAGGGGTTATTCACCCTGTTAGAAAACGGGCCTTATTGCTAGTGCTTAATTTGCAACAAAAGACGTGCTGGAGCACAAGCAATTAGGTGCCAGGGCTCAAGCAATTTTTTTTTCCTGACTGATGTGGCAAGTGGCAGAGGTGCCAGGGTTCTGAACTGCCAAGCCTAAGGGTGCCAGGGCCCCGGGCCGGCACAAATTCAGCCCTGCCTATTGCTCAGTTGTGTGTCTGGCACAGCTTCTGGCCTTTAGTTCTTGTTCTGCCGTTCTCTGTGAGATTCAAGACCCCCTAGTGCCCAGTGTTTTCTCCCCAGCAGGGTACTCACACCTTTGGTCTTCATTTCCTAAAGGAGAAAGTGAAATCCCCCTCCCCTGTTACATATTTCAAATGGGAATACGTGTTGCAGAATCATTGTCTTAAAGTTGGCAGCCGGGTATGTGTTAGGAACGATCATTTTGCTCAGCTGGATTTAAAGAATACCCAACATTTGGAATGTAAATGGACAAACACTGGAGAGTCCAGTGACCTGGTTCTGTGTACAGACCAGGTGGAGCGGGTTCAGTTAATTCCTGATGTCACTTTGATAACTTCAGTGGAGTAACACTAGCATAGAATTTGTCCTGGTACATCCTCTCCTGCTTTGCCGCTCACTCTTTCTTCCTCGGTAGATTCATTCTTCTTCATTGCGCTCAGAAGTCTGCAGCGCCAATATGCGAGGAGAGGGAGGCCTTGGAAGCACCTTCCAAAAAACAAGAATGCAGGAAAAAGCCTTAAAAAAGCAGAGTGCAAGAGGATACCTGAAAAACTACCGAACAGAGCATTGTAGGGCCCTTGAAAATCTTGGGAAGCTCCATCACCAGTTTTCCTGAACGAAGAGTAAATAATCTGAAATTTCCTTTTGCGTCCATGCAGAATCAATACCAATTTAATGCCATGTTGGGGAAAATCCCTGGGAGGAGGGCGTATCTAAATTCGACTCCAGTGGGAAATGGAGTAAGAATGTAGATGCACGTTCCTTTCCTGAGATACATTGAAACGCTAGTATTTACCTCCTTGTGGTGGACTGATACAGATCACACCCATTCCATAAAGGTGCGGAGGCCTCTGTTTCTGCGTTTCAGTGAGTACATAGAAGAATCGAATGAGTTTGCAGCTCGTTTTGCCGGAGTGTGGCTCATGTGCTTCTGGTATTTAAAAAATAAACATGGCTGAAAATCTGAAGTTGACGATAATTTAGTTTCATGGCAAACTTTTCCTCGGGTTTTCTTAACGTTGGTGTTTCAGTGCCACAGAGACACTGCTGAATTGGGCTTTCCTGCCAGATTTACAGCACCTAAGTCCACTGATAGCAGAGCAGGCGAGGGCAGAGGGAGGCCTCGCCTGGCCTTGTGTGCATACACAACCCCGTATGCATTAGCCGTTCCTGTGTGCATTAGGCTGCAGAAGGCCCAGGAGGAGCACCGCACCGTGGAAGTGGAGAAGGTGCATCTGGAGAAGAAGCTCCAGGATGAGATCAGCATTGCCAAGCAGGAGGCGCACCGGCTGCGGGAGCTGCGGGAGGGGACGGAGAACGAGCTGAGCAGACAGAAGTACGCTGAGCAGGAGCTGGAGCAGGCAAGCATTGCATCCCGTACACACGCGCAGAAACAGGTGGGTGGGATGTCACAGTGGGCCCTGGTGCCACCACCACTCCCAGGTGACCTTGGGGATCAGAGAGGTCCAAGTATCCCTGCCACGTCCTCATAGAACATTTTCCCCAGAGGCTGCTTCTTGTAGGGCCTGTCCATGCTGCACTATGTAGTCACCAGAGGGGATCCCTGGAGGGCGACATACTGAAACTCCCACTTCACAGTCTCTGCCGTCCCCGAAGGGAAAGTCCTGAGTTCGATCCATGTCTCTGATCCCACTGGGCTGAGAGCTGACCACCGGGGCCGGCCCCTTTCCCTTTATGCTGCACTTTACTAATCCCCAAAGCAGCTAAAGCACCTGCTGGCAGAGTTGGGCATTTACGTACCATTTCTTGAGACAGGAGTTTCCTACCACCGTCTAATATGGACATACCCCTCAAACGACCCTCCAGTACAAATGGATCCCTGGCATTGCGGGAGTGGTCTTGTTCTCATAATCTCCAGTCCTTTGGCCTGTCCCTAGGGAAAGGTGGCGTCACATCCATTGGCCCCTTCCCCTCCTCTTCACATTTGTAATGAAATCTGAACCCAGCAGTGAGTTAACCAGTTTGTTGTTCCTCAGAGGCCTCCGTGTGGGATTCCTTGAGTGGGTGAGTAATGGCTTTGTCCACCCAGCGTGCACTGTGTGATGTAACACAATCACCGCCGAAATGCCCTACAGGCCACACGTGTTATTCACCAGCCACTCCCACTGACCATACCAGCCAATGGCAGCCTGTCAGAACTGAAGATACTTGGGGGTCCCTGAGGATCCTAAAATCTGAGCTGCTCTGGCGCCAGTTGATGCTGCTCAGGAGGAGGCCTGGTGTTTCAGAGACCATCTTGGAGGCTCCAATTGGAGTGATTTGGAAGCCTTGGTGAGATGGGGCTCTTGTGCCCTAGAGTTTACACACTGGCCCACTCCCAGGGACACCAGGCCCTACCAATTATAAGCCCTGCTCAGGCTTCATTCATTCCAGAGCCCATTTCCCCCTGCTGGCCATTTTATAGCGCTACCCCCATGTTCCGTTTCCCAAACCCGATATTTGTGGGTCCCTATGAACCCTGCTGTCCACGCACATTTTGAGCAAACTTCTGACCTCAGATCCAAGTGGGTCATTCCATGGTTCTGTTCTGTTCTGCCTGTGTGCTCAGCACTCCCAGGCATGCAGACACCATGGGGGCAAGGGGAGAAGGAGACGATGGATTAGAGAGGAGAGAACTGCATGTATGGGAGGAGACCAGATCAGTGGAGGCGCGATAGGTTGGAGAATTTAGTCCTTTACGGAGATTGTGGTGAAGTCCCTGCATTTCTGTAACAATGTAGGAAAATTACAGTTCATGTTATTAATATTGTAGGCAATCGTAAAGCAAGTGGGTAGCTAGCTCTGGCATGTGGCTGCTTTACAGGTCCCGAGTGGTTTACAGACTGTGATACTTGTCCTCCTAGGGACGTGTCTGCTTTTGACGGGGTACATGAGAAAAACCCTCTAATGCCAGGCAGTGCATTTTGTTGAATAAGACTTGGTTATCTAACTATAAAGTATATTATGACCCTATCTCATATGGCTGTACATGGGAGAAAATGTTATTTGGAAAGGGGGACGCTGCCTAAAAAAATCTGAAACACACTGCTCTAGATGGTCTGGTAAACGTGCTCACAGGGAGAAGTGTCTCCGTGCGATGTGATGCCCTGGCTAGAGATCATGCTCCAGCCAAATGCAGTCTCAACGGGGCTGGGCTGGTTAACACAATAAAGGAAACCGATCTGAGATTCCTTACACATCTTCATTCTCAGTCCAGTGGGCAGCTCTCTAGCCTGGGAAAAGAGAGGGTGTGAGCCAAAGCTATGTTGACGCCTACTTCTTGCAAGCAAGGTGCTAACCTGGTCTGAACCCTAGGTAGAACCTCAGTGAAGTCAGCGGATGCATTCCCAAGGAGGTCATAGCGCCAGGGCCAGAGTGAACAGAGAGGACACAAGTTTGACTCTCCTTTATTAACAGTCCAAGGGGTTTTCCCCTTACTCGGACATGGGGAGGTGCTGCCCACACTTGAACTGTGTGATAACCAATCGGGACCTCTGTATTAGTACAGTAGATGGGGGCTACATGTGGTGGACAAGCCAGCGGTGGTGTTCTAAGGAGCCTGTTTAAAACATTTAGGGTTGGGGTTAGTGCTTTCCAAGAGAAGGCCCATGGTGAGGGAGGGGTTAGAATGCAGTGCTGGGAGCTAGGTCTCTCTGGATCTGGCGCCGATCTTGTTGTCATTCTGAGTTGGTCACTTTGCCCCTCTGCGCCTCAGTTTCCCCATTGGTAAAACAAAGCTAATGCCTCATCTGCATCGTTTCAGGTTGAATATTTGGAAAGCCCTTTGAGTTCTGAGGGAAGGCACTGCCGAGGTGTCCATTCCTGTTGAGTACCAAAGCCATGCCTTTGTAGTAGGGTTTTATGCCTTTGACGTGCTTGCCCCCATCCTGGGTTTTGATCCTCCTGTGAGTTGAGTTCCTCAAAGTTCAGGCTAGGGAAGAAGCTTAACTGGGCTGGAGGGAGAGGGAGAGCGAAAGGGAGGGGGGAAGGGGGTTGCAGGAATTGCAGATAGCTGCAGGAATTGCTGGAACACCTGATTATACTGACCAAGCAGCACGCTTTGTGTGTCTAAATGTTCCTGTCTTTTTGCTCCAGTTTGTCTTCTTTTAACAAACCCTTTGTGTTCAGCTTAGCACTGAAAAGAGGCAGCTGCTTGCTCAGTTGTCAGCATGTCTTTGCTTTCCAGAGAGCTGACACTCCATGCCTCGCAGATCAGCAGTGGGGGAGATGGAGATTTACAGGGCTTGGTGATAAACACTAAATATCTTTGCTCTGTTCTCTCATCCTCTCCAGTGTAATTCCACTAACTCCACTCCGCTTCCTCTTCTTGTCCCTCGTACCAGTGTCAGTTAGAATCAGGCCTCCCAGACTCAGCGAGCTAGACCAGATTTGCACTGCTTAAACATTCTGCTTCACTGCACTGGTAGCTGAAGTAAGAAGGGGTCGTCGCAGCCCAATCCCTGACCACGGGAGAGAGAAATGTAGCAGAAAGGGATCTGACCTGCAGAAGGGAGGGAAATCCTGCCAGCTGTGCCAGTTGCTCATGCAGCAGCTTCTCCCTTGCAGGGTGGGCCCCAGGAAAGAGAATGGTGCTATCCTGCCCCACTGACAGCACAGTTGTTTGTCTGGCTCAGGGAAGAGCAACTCTCCCTCTTGCCTGACCCCAAGCCTCGGCCAGGAGGGAGGCAGTTTTCTGGAGGCTGGTTTTCTTTTCAGTGCCATTAGCAGCAGCGATGCTGCAACCGACCATGCACCGGAGGGGCTACCTTGGAAAGTGCTCACTGGTACAAAAGGGTCCCCCTCCCACACGCCTCCCTGTGATGCCGCTGCTCTGTTCCCATTGCAGGTCCGCATGGCGCTGAAGAACGCAGAGAAGGAGCTCGAATCTCACTGCAGCTGGGCCGCCCCAGAAGCCTTGCAGAAATGGCTCCAGCTGACCCATGAAGTGGAGGTCCAGTACTACAACATCAAGAAGCAGAATGCAGAGAAGCAGCTGCTGGTGGCCAAAGAGGGGGTGAGAGCTTTGATCTCGTCAGTTCTAAATTCTTGCCGCCCTGAGGCTGGGGATGAAATCCGTAGATGTTTGCAGCTCACAACAGCAGCAGGCTGCATGTGGCCCACTGGGGCTCTGTGCACAGCCCGCAAGATGTTTTGTGGACGGTTACCTGTGGGCAGGGCGGCCAGATACCGCTGGTTTCCGTCCACATAGTTTTTCTCCTATTGGTATTACTAACGCAACGTGCACATAAATCAAGGGCCTGTGAAGTGAGGTGCATGCTGATGGCACACGTCTAGAGCCCTGGGTGGATGCACCATTTGTATCCACAAAATGAGCTGTGGATATCTGCATCTGCAGAGCAGCGTTCCCTCTAAGCTGCGCCGCAGCCCAGCCTCACAGGTGATGAATCAGGCCTGCCCAGCCAGAGGCTCAGGGCTCTGTGCATGGAGCTGGCTGGGGAAGGCTGATTAATCACCTGTAAAGCTGGGCTGCAGCGCAGCTCAAAGGCAACACTGCTGCAGATATAAAGTGGATATCCACGAAATGGCAGGGCTTTACATGGGCGGTCCGTGAGCCTAGGCAGACTAGGCGCTCGCCTAGGGCGCTGCTGGCCTGGGCACCCAATGATGACATCACAGGGAGCCCTATGATTACGTCATGGCCATTGACGGCTGTGCAGGTGGGGACGCCAATCGCGCCTTCCGCCTTGGGTGCCAGCTGCTACAGCCGGCCTCTGGCCGCTCCTGGCTCTACACACCACATTGGTCACCATGCTCGGTGTAACAGCCCTCAACGTATTTGAAGGCTGTTATCAGGTCTCCCCCTCAGTCTTCTTTTCTCAAGTCTAAGCATGCCCTGGTTTTTTTTACCTTTTCTCATAGGTCAGGGATTCTAAACCTCCCTTTTATTATTTTTGATGCTTTCTTCTGAACTCTCTCCAGTTTGTCCACATCTGTCTTAAGGCACAGTGCCAGTGTAACCCCCACACACCTCTTGCGTGTGGCTCACTGTCCCATGTAGTGGCACTTAGTCCACTTAGGGTACGTCTACATTACAGAGAAGATCGAATCTGCTGCTGTCCATCTGCCAGGGTTTGAATTAGCAGGTCTAGTTAAGACAGCTAATTCGAACTGAGAGGGGCGTTCCGGTCAATGCCGGTAGTCCTGCTTCCACAAGGAGTAAGGGAAGTCGAAGGGAGAGTGTGCTCCTTTGACTTCCTGTAGTGTGGACAGCACCAAAAGTTGTGTTAAGTTGTGTTTGGCTACTCAATTAATGTAGCTGAAGTTGCGTATCTTAATTCCACCTTATCCCGTGATGTTGACTTACTCTTAGAGAGAGAAAGAATAAGTTCGTTTTACAGCCTTAGCTGGGACCCAGATGGCTTTTAGCTCAACAGTAAAGGCTCATGCACTAAGCTCCAGAGGTCTCAGGTTCAGTTCTGCCTGTCAGTGTTACACCAGTGCTTAACACAGCACTCCTGCTGAGACCTCACTGGTGTTGCATGTAGTGGGACAGTTACCCCTCATGTCTTACACATGACTGTCTTGTTAACACATCCCCGAATGATTTTCGCTTGTTTCAAAACTACAGCACATTGTTGGCTCCTGTTCCATTGTGACCCATTGTCATGACTGTTCAGCCACTACTCCCCGTCTTGTAGTTGTATGTTTGATTTTTCCATCGTAAGTGTAGTACTTTGCATTTGTCGTTCTTGTATTTCATCATGTTGATTTGAGACCAATTCTCCAGTTTGTCAAGGCCATTTAAAATTCTAATTCTGTCCAAGTGCTTGCAACCCTTTCCCGCATGGTGACCGGACAAACCCCTGTGGATCCCCACCTGATGCATCCTACCAGTCTGAGAGCAAACCATTGATTACAGCCCTGCGGGTTTGCTCGCGGTGTCCCTGGTCTGCTGGAGACCGTCTCCAGCAGACCAGGGACACCGCGAGCAAACCCGCAGGGCTGTAATCAATGGTTTGCTCTCAGACTGGTAGGATGCATCAGGTGGGGATCCACAGGGGTTTGTCCGGTCACCATGCGGGAAAGGGTTGCAAGCACTTGGACAGAATTAGAATTTTAAATGGCCTTGACAAACTGGAGAATTGGTCTCAAATCAACATGATGAAATACAAGAACGACAAATGCAAAGTACTACACTTACGATGGAAAAATCAAACATACAACTACAAGACGGGGAGTAGTGGCTGAACAGTCATGACAATGGGTCACAATGGAACAGGAGCCAACAATGTGCTGTAGTTTTGAAACAAGCGAAAATCATTCGGGGATGTGTTAACAAGACAGTCATGTGTAAGACATGAGGGGTAACTGTCCCACTACATGCAACACCAGTGAGGTCTCAGCAGGAGTGCTGTGTTAAGCACTGGTGTAACACTGACAGGCAGAACTGAACCTGAGACCTCTGGAGCTTAGTGCATGAGCCTTTACTGTTGAGCTAAAAGCCATCTGGGTCCCAGCTAAGGCTGTAAAACGAACTTATTCTTTCTCTCTCTAAGAGTAAGTCAACATCACGGGATAAGGTGGAATTAAGATACGCAACTTCAGCTACATTAATTGAGTAGCCAAACACAACTTAACACAACTTTTGGTGCTGTCCACACTACAGGAAGTCAAAGGAGCACACTCTCCCTTCGACTTCCCTTACTCCTTGTGGAAGCAGGACTACCGGCATTGACCGGAACGCCCCTCTCAGTTCGAATTAGCTGTCTTAACTAGACCTGCTAATTCAAACCCTGGCAGATGGACAGCAGCAGATTCGATCTTCTCTGTAATGTAGACGTACCCTAAGTGGACTAAGTGCCACTACATGGGACAGTGAGCCACACGCAAGAGGTGTGTGGGGGTTACACTGGCACTGTGCCTTAAGACAGATGTGGACAAACTGGAGAGAGTTCAGAAGAAAGCATCAAAAATAATAAAAGGGAGGTTTAGAATCCCTGACCTATGAGAAAAGGTAAAAAAAACCAGGGCATGCTTAGACTTGAGAAAAGAAGTGGGAAGGTTCTTGCATGGATTGATAACTGGTTAAAAGACAGGAAACAAAGGGTAGGAATAAATGGTAAGTTTTCCGAGTGGAGAGAGGCAACTAATGTGGTCCCCCCAAGAGTCTGTCCTGGAACCAATCTTATTCAACTTATTTATAAATGATCTGGAGAAAGGGGTAAAAAGGGAGGTTGGAAAATTTGCAGATGTTACTAAACTGCTCAAGATAGTAAAGACCAAAGCAGACAGTGAAGAGCTTCAAAAAGATCTCACCAAACTAAGTGATTGGGCAACAAAATGGCAAATGAAAATTAATGTTGATAAATGTAAAGTAATGCACATTGGAAAAAAATCATCCCGATTATATTTACAATATGATGGGGAATAATTTAGCTACAGCTACTCGAGAGAGATCTTGGAATCATTGTGGATAGTTCTCTGAAAATATGCATTCATTGTGCAGTGGCAATCAAAAAAGCAAACAATGGTAGGAATCATTAAAAAAGGGATAGAGAATAAGACTGAGAATATCTTATAGCCTCTATATAAAACTATGGTATGCCCACATCTTGAATACTGTGTGCAGATGTGGTCACCTCATCTCAGAAAGGATATATTGTCATTGAAAAAGGTTCAGAAAAGTGCAACAAAAATGATTAGGGGTTTGGAACGGGTGCCACGTGAAGAGAGATTAAAAAGACGGGGCCTTTTCATCATAGAAAAGAGGAGACTAAGGGGGGATATGATAGAGGTCTATAAAATTACGACTGGTGTGGAAAAAGTGAATAAGGAAAAGTTATTTACTCGTTCCCATAATATAAGAACTAGGGGTCACCAAATGAAATTAATAGGTAGCAGGTTTAAAACAAACAAAAGGAAGTTTTTCTTCATGCAACACATATGCAACACACAGTCAACCTGTGGAACTCCTTGCCAAAGGATGTTGTGAAGACCAAGACTTTAACCTGGTTCCAAAAAGAACTAGATCAATTCGTGGAGGTTAGGTCTATCAATGGGTATTAGCCAGGATGGGTAGGAATGGGGTCCCTAGCCTCTGTTTGTCAGAGGTTGGAAATGGATGACATGAGAAGGATCACGTGATTGTTTAGTTTGGAAAAAAGAAGATTAAGGGGGGACATGATAGCGGTTTTCAAATATCTAAAAGGGTGTCACAAGGAGGAAGGAGAAAATTTGTTCCTCTTGGTTTCTGAGGACAGGACAAGGAGTAATGGGCTTAAAGTGCAGCAAGGGAGGTTTAGATTGGACATTAGGAAAAAAATCCTAACTGTCAGGGTGGTCAAATATTGGAATAAATTGCCAAGGGAGGTGGTGGAATCTCCCTCTCTGGAGATATTTAAGAACAGGTTAGATAGACATCTGTCAGGGATAGTGTAGAGCTTGGTCCTGCCTTGAGGGCGGGGGGCTGGACTCGATGACCTCTTGAGGTCCCTTCCAGTCCTATTATTCTATGATTCTATGATTCTATGATTCCCTGTTCTGTTCACTCCCTCTAGGGCATCTGGCATTGGGCACTGTTGGAAGATAGGATACTGGGCTAGATGGAGCTTTGGTCTGACCCAGTGTGGCCATTTTTATGTTCTTATGTTCTTAAGTTTACCTTGCTCCTAATGTATTTATATAACCTCTTCTTATGCCCTTTAAGTTCCTTGCCAGGTGTAAAGTCATTTTTTGCCTTAGCCTTTCTGATTTTGTCCCTGCGTGATTTTGCTACCATGGGGATTGATGACCTAGGATACAGGATGATATGTAGTACTGGTCCATGATGCATGGTGATACTAGGTATTGGTGTCACGGTTTACATTTTCAAAATTCTGCACAAACCTTAATTAAGGCACCCAACGCAGTTATCACAGACACTTCGCACGTGGGGAAACTGAGTCATGAAGAGAGAAGTGATTGATCTGCTGTTCTGCAGTGAATTGGTGTCAGAGCTGGTTTAGAATGATTGAATTCTAGGCTCCTGTGCATGTATTCAGACCACTAGACCAGTGGTTTTTGCACATTTTTTTTCTCATGACCCAGTTGAAAAAAATTGTTGATGCCCACGGCTCAGCATAACTTGACTGGAATGGGGGTCCAGGGGGGGTCTGAGGATGGAACTTTGGGGTGTTGGAGGGGGTTCCAGCTGTGGAGGTCGCAGGGCTGGGGCAGTCTGTGGTGCCAGGAGAGGCAGGAAGCTGCCTTATCGTCCCCCTTCCCCCTCCGGGCGCTGGCACGGTGCAGGGGGGGGGATAAGGCAGCTTCCTGCCTCTCCTGGCACTGCAGACTGTGCTGTGCCCAGAAGCAGCCAGCAGGAGGTTCCCAGCCAATGGGACTGTGGAGCTAGTGCTTAGGGCAGGGGCACTGTGCGGAGCCCTGTGTGCTCTCCTAGGAGCTGGGCCTGTTGCCAGCTGCTTCTGGGGCGCAGCACAGTGTACGGTGCCAGGAAAGGCAGGCAGCTGCCTTAGCACCCGCACTGGTCACCTGATCCCCCTGCAGCAAGGAGACCCAGTGCCCGACATTCCATCACCCACGGGAGCCGTAGTTTGACCAGCCCCGCACTAGACCTTACTGCTGAGTGAGTGGCTTTTGGCAGATAAGTTTCACCCTGCTAATGTGCATAACTGGCTGTTGCGTGCAGAATTGTGCATTGCGAAACGTCTGTCACAGGAATGCTCCATGGCCCCTTTGAGAACAAAGCTGGCCCCAAGCAGCCCTCGGACAAGGGCTGTGAAGCTTTTGACGTGTAAAACGTGTAGGTCGTCTTCACTGGCCAAGTCACTTCTCTGCTCCCAGCTGTTTGAAATCTTCTGAGCAAGGCAGAGCAGCGGCAGAGAGCAGGAAGCTGTTGCACCTGATGGGCTGGGCTCTCTTGACATTGTGCAGCGTCAGAGGTGGCAGGGCAGATACGAATGTGTTGGTCTTACCACATTCCAACCACAAATGCTGCAGCACTTCAGCCATTTCCCGTGTGGGTTCTGCTGCAGCCTTCCAGGCCCTGGCTTGCCTTTGGCAATTCTACAGTAAACATGATTCGAGCAGAAAGGCCGAGGGGTCTGTATGTAGAGACTTAAGAGTCAGATGTACACAGGGTCCTAAAGGGGAGGCAGACCCCCATTTCAGGATGTTAGGAGCCTGTCGAGAGAACTGTAGTTGCTCTTTCTGGGAAGAAGCCTGAGGCATGGCAGGAGTCGTTAGCTGTACAGTTGTAGCTAGTGAGAATTGGGCCCTTCCTCTGCTTTGGTCTGACACCCTCACCAGCATGTTACGGGGACTAAACATCCTTAGATAAAGCAACAGTTCGAGCTACTGGAATGTGTGCAGAGAGCCACAGGACTATTTCTGTCTTACCCTGTTCAGGATATCGCTATCCTGGAGGAAACACAAGGGCTGATCCTTCTGGTGACCTTTTTTTCGCTTCTGTGTTTCAGGCTGAAAAAATTAAAAAGAAGCGAAACACCCTGTTTGGAACGTTTCACGTTGCACACAGCTCCTCCCTAGACGACGTTGATCATAAAATCTTAACTGCAAAGTGAGTATCCTCCACCACAGCTTCCTGCCGTTTCCCACAAGCCCCTCACGCGCAGGTCCCTTCGTCTCACGGGGACAAGACGCAGACCTGCAGCTCCTTCCTGCAGATCCTGAATCCCAGGGTTAAGTCATCCTGCAGCGCTTGTTCTGCACATCCGGTTCCGAATCCCTTTTGCTGCACAGCATGAATTCATTGGCCTTTCCTTTGCCTCAGGAGAAGTTGATCCTTATTTAATTCACGTTTGTCAGCTTTTGGGGAATGTGTGAAATGTAGAGGGTAGGTAGTTCCCCGAAAAATGACGAGCTGTCCTCTGGCACCTCAGAGACTAACAAAAATGTATATGAGAAAACTTTAAAACCAGGGTTTTGCCCACGAAAGCTTGTGATCTACATGTACATATTTGTTAGTCTCTACGGTGCCATAGGACTACTCGTTTTTCAAGTTACAGGCTATCATGGCGACCCCTCTGAGACTGGTTCCCCTAAGGTGGAAAGTCGAAGTCCCGACCGTTTACAGCTCTTACAGATCCCATGCCTCTGCGCAGAAGGAGGGATGTGCTCCCCCGGGGTTTCACCTGGACAGTTTCCTGCTGTAGCCTGTTGCTCGTATGGTGCTAAATAATGGCCATTCTCCCTTGCAAAATGGGCTGCGTTTCAGCCATCCTGTCTGTAGTTGGGAGAGAGGTTCATATGGCTGATGGATGGATCCGTTCCTGGAAGTCCCTTCCTTTCACGGTGGAAATGTTTGCTGGGGTTTTGGAAGATTTCTGTTAACTCCATCACACTTACCCTTAAGGCAAGACTTTGAGATTTACGTGACTCAGAGCTGTATTGAGATACAGTAAACTTCCAATTGTCCGGCATCCAGTGGTCCAGTACCAACTAGAACCCGGAAGTGCTCCAGCCAGACAATTGGAGCTGCTCCGCGCCACTTCCCCCAGTCCACTGCTGCCACTGCTGAAACTGACCCGCTGTGGACCTGGGGAAGCCCTGGGGCAGAGCAACTGGGGTGCTGCTGGGTTGGTCCTGCAGCGCCGCCCCTCACCAGCACCTGGTTTGCCCCACACCGTGCCATTCCCCGCCCGACCCCTCCTCCCCCTGTCACAGCCCCCCTGCTGGAGTACCTCCTGATACTCCGGCATATCCAATAATCCGGCACCCCCTGGGTCCCAAAGGTGCCGGATTATCAGAAGTCTGCTGTACTTTGACCCTGGCTATTGTCATACGGAGAATTTGGACAGGGGTTAACATACAGGAAAAACCGTTCTGAAGTGACCACTCTGTAAGGCTCTGCAGAGTCTGGAGAAATGTCTCGGCTTGACAAAGCCCTGGCTGGGTTGATTTAGTTGGGATTGGTCCTGCCTTGGGCAGGGGACTGGACTTGATGACTCCTGAGGTCTTCCAGCTCTAGGATGCTATAAAATACAGCAGAATCTCCGCGGAACCCTCTGATGCCCTGATTCAGACACACAAAGATCTTCTGTCTTGTTTCCACTGTTCCCTTTTCCCTTCCCTTGGTCTTCAGGCAAGCCCTGAGCGAAGTGACGGCTGCGCTGCGGGAGCGCCTCCACCGCTGGCAGCAAATCGAGGTGCTCTGCGGCTTCCAGATTGTCAACAACCCCGGCATCCATGCACTCATAGCAGCCCTGAACATCGATCCCAGCTGGGTGGGCACGCCCCGGCCCAACCCATCCCACTTCATCATGACGGATGACCTGGACGACCTGGACGAAGAGATTGTGTCTCCCATGTCCATGCAGTGTATGTATCCCGGGCTGGTGATGCGCGCTGAGACGGGTTAGCGCTTAGCTGCTGCGCTACGTTAGATTGATGGGATGCATCGGAAGGGAATGGGGTAGCTGTGTTGACTAAGCAGGAGAGTCATGTCCATAGAAGCCCAAATACCAGCCTCTTAGTATAAGCCTGGCCTCCATTGCTGGAAGTTGTTGGAAGCTACTCGCCAGGAGCACGTACTAGTGACCGTGATGGAGAGACCTTGCTGCCCCTGTTCCCCGTGGCTGTCTCGGGCAGAAGAGGGGCAGTGCCCCAGCCAGAGGAGCAGTGGGGTCCAGCTAACTGTTGGCTGAGCCTGACTTAGAGCCACTTACCAACGCGGGCATCTCCAGTTGGGCCTCCTACACGAGTGACGCGTTAGGGTCCCCAGGGCTCGGGGGAGGGGGGGCGCCACTGCCGGTGTATAAGAGCCCCCAGAAGGGAGCAGGGCCGTTCTGTGGTTGATCTTTTCCTGTCCCATTCGTGTTGAGAATGCTGCTGCGAGCCAGTGATGATTATACCTGTAAATCAAACTTTTCTCTCTCCCTTTCAAACCTGATTGGCTAACCCCAGACGCGGCCTGGCTTTTGGGGCGCAGGTTCAGTGACCGCTCGTCTATCTCCTCGGAGGATCAGTCCCTCTGCAAATACCCCGGTTTGGTTCTCTTGGTTGTTTTTTTTCACCTACTGGACTAAAATACATCCACGATTTTTCCAACTTTTTGACACACACACTAATTCACATGCTCTTCTTCAGTGAGACACGAGCATCGTTACTAACCTCTGGGCAGAGTCTGCTGGGATGAAGAATTTCATGTTCGCTCCTTCCTCCGCCTTCTGTGTTTGGAGCTTTAAACCCCAGGCTTGAACCGTGGTTTTGCTGAGGGCTTGGAGGGTAACGCTGCTCCCCTCCCGCTCCCTGGAGTCCGTGACAACAGAGCCCCCCTCTTTGGGTGATTCCGGCTGCTGGGGGATGTCGCCTACAGCTGGGTCCGTTCTGATGCCACATGCAGCTGAATCTGGTCTAGTGTCTCCTATTCCCAAGGCCTAGCGTGCTGAGCCCCTGCAGGGAGGGAACGTCTCGAGCGATTTCCCCGCTTGCCCAGGCCAATCCTCTCTCCATTAGAGTGTTGTCACAGTACAGGGCCTGCTGGTGCGTGAGGGAGAATGTGAAATACCATGAAGATTGGTCTCGACAATAGAAGCAGTGGGATATAGGGATGTAAGTGGTGCTGCCAGCTCCCTCCCCTCTCTCTGTGCTGCTGCCTCTATCAGAGGCAGTGAGGAGGGGATGGGGGGGAACAGTGGAGCCTGCCCTGAAGCTGCCTTTCCCTGTGGCAGGTCTGGGCTGGCTGGGTACAGAGGCTGGGACCCTCATGGAGAGAGGCTGCTGGACCCGGGGTGGGGTGGGGCAGGCCTAACCCCGCTGTGGCTCTTGCAGTTTAAATGTTGTAGGAGCCGGGCTGCCCGCCCACCTGGCTCTTACTACATTTAACCTGCAGAGCCGCAGCGGGGGTTAAATTCCCTTATCAACTAATCGTGTAGTCGATAAAAATTGTATCGACTACACAATTAGCCTGTTACCCACCTCTTAACACCCCTAGAGGGAGGACTCCAGTCTGCCAGCAGAGTCGGGAGCAAGACACAAGATGTTTCGGGTTTGATTGTCGCTGTTATGGCTCTGGCTAAACAGCAGTGGAGCGCCACAGACTTAACTAGAGGTCAAACCTGGCCTGGCAAGTGATGAGTCAGACGCGCAGTCAAGGCCTTTGATGGACAAGCTCTCACTGTTTAGAAGTCAGTCTCCTCGTGTAAAAGGGGGAGCCCCTGAGGTGGCGAGTGACCCCAGGCCGCACAGGGTACGTCTGCAGCAGCATGGAGATTAAAGTCTGCGGCTGGCCCGGGGCAGCTGGCTCTGGGCTGTGTGGACAGTCAGTCTCGGGCGCTGGGATTCCGCCCCGGCTGGGCTCAGCTGGAGCCTGAGCGTCCACCTGGTAATGTTTAGTCCTACAGCCCAGGGCGGCTGACGCAGGCCCCCAAAGGCTTTTGCCCTCAGTGAGATGCACCTGCAGAGGTGGCATTTGAAACCCGGAGTTGTGTGCTCGCTCCCCGAGTTTGGTAACGAACCCCCGGAGGCACGACAGGTGTGTCAGGAGAAAGCTGGGGGAGGAAGAGCAAGCCTAGGCCCCGAGACCGGCCGGGACCATTGCGAGCATCTAGTCCAGCCTCCTGCCTTGCACCAGCCAAGGACCTGCCCCAGCAGGGAGGAGGGGAAGGTCCCGCTAAGGAGAAACGAGCCCACGGTTCGGCAGGACACAGACCGGCCTCCCCCAGCTGTGCGATATCGATGCTTCCCCAAGGCAGAGCCCCCAGGCCGCTCCGCTGGGCTCAGTGGGAGGAGGAGGAAGGCAGGCAGCCCGGGCAGCCCCCAGCTCTGGCCTCTGGCCGCTCCAGCTCTCCTCCCCCAGGCACCTTCCTGACAAATGTTTCTGGAGCCAGAGACTGAGCTTCACTTTTAGCCCCGTTTAACGTGATTTATGAGGGTTATTTCAGTGCAGGATCCTGCAAGGAAAATTCTAAAAATGTTCAGGCAGCGCAGCGGAGAGAGGGAAGGGCTGTGGATGGGAGGGAG